TTTCACTCTTTTTGTGACTCTTACCTCTTCTGTATCTCAGTGCACATATAGATGGTTTGTTCTTAAGGGAGACAAATCTGAAATATTAAATACGTAACTTGAATTACAAGGAAACTCACATTTATCCCATCAGCTGGTTTTAAATGGCAGAGAATAACTCTGCAGCTGAGAAACTATGCACTCTCATATAATTGTCTTTTGTTTGCTTGCAATTTTAAATATGCTATTTATCATCACAGCCCTAAAGCATTGTGCTGGTAATATACCCACAAGGAGCGTGTGTGCATTTTGTCTTTTCATTCTGTCATGTACAGACAAATTGATATTTTGCTTGTTTTTACAAAGTAAAACACTTAATGTGCTCAACTGTGGCGTGTGCGCGTGCGCATGTGGACAAATATCGTAAAACCAGTTGAATTCATTTGCCTTCTCATTAGCTGTATGCTATTGATTTATATTGTCGCCATTACAGGTGATACTGCATTTTGATTTTTGTAGCATTAATATTATTTGGGAAAGTGTAACTTGATGAGAGTTCACTTGTTCGTATGTTTTTTTAATACCTGCTTAAGTCATATGAAATAATTAAAAAAAACCCCACTCCTCCTTTATGCCTGTCTTTCTGGGTAACAACAGACTTAATTAAACACTACAGCTGTGTTTTGAAGAAAGACTGCTGAGTTTTAATTCTGTTGAACAGGTAATTTGGAGATTGTCCAGTTTAGTTGTGCCTTTTATGGAGAAACCTCCTAAAGTAGGTGAAATACCCAACAAGTGAAATGGTTCAGGGCTTGCTTGTTTTTACCTTGTATATCTACTTGTTTTCTTCCAATATGCTTGACAGTATTCCTTATCTAAAATTGCTTAATTAGGAAAGTAGCAGGGGTTGCTCAAACCAGAAGTTTGAGACCATTTGGAAAGAGGATCTCCACTCTGGGGTTTTTTTGCAACCAGTATCCTGGGGTAGTTACTTGTTAGCAGGATGGTAACTGGTAGGGAGCTGCTTCCTGCCATGTGTCTTCAGCAACCCAGAAACTCTCATTTATTTACACTGTTGTAGACCCCCAAAGCCTATCCTTCTACCTAACCTGTGCCGGAGGCCTTCCTTTAAAGGGGACAGCAAGCCACTTCTACCCTATGGTGGGTCTCCATCCCCTAGGGTCCTTAAAACAATACAGTGAAATCACATATGCTCTGCTTTAAAAGCAAGCCATAAAATATTTAAATTGTCTGTATTTGGCATACAAGATCAGGGCCTTGAAAGGTAGCTGATTTCCACAAGGGCACTCAAAAGGCCTAGACTCAAATTTGAAGCAAGCTCACCCCTTCATTGGAAGGGCCTCTGTGCTGGAGACAGCAGGAAATTTCCTAGATGGTTAATAATTGGGGAGGGGGGAGAAGGAGCCTGGAATTTCTTTTTATAGAAATAGAATAACAGCCTCGCATACAAACTGAACTTCTGGTATTCAACTGAAAGTTGCTATTGGCTATTATTGCCTAGTAGTTCTACAGTGAAAGCTGCTGAATTGGAAAATAGAATGTAAATAGTTCAGTTTTATACCTGAAGTGACAATGATGAGCGTATCAGGACTGTACCTCCTTGGTGTCATTCAAGCAATTCCTAGGGCTGAGCTGTTGGATTCTGGCAACTAATCAACAGCTTTCTGACTAGCACTCTGATGGTCTAGAAACTACTAAGAAGCCCTCAAGAGGGGGATGCTGATTCCATTCCCTGAACTGGAGGGAGCCTGCCACTCCCCACAAACTAGGTGGGCTCCATTTTACCATTAGCTGGATGGCTACAAGAGGGGCTCATCTGCTGTTTAAAAAAGACCCCCATTTGAGAAATGGTTAATTTTTGGTTTTTTAAAAAAATTAAGAGGTATACCCTGGCTTTTCTCCCTGATGGAGGTCCAAAGATGCTAATAAGATTGCTCTCCCTCCTCCATCTTGTCCTCGTGACAATCCTGTGAGGGAGGTTTATTTAAAACATTTTTATGCCATCTTTCTATCCAGTTATGGTCCACAAGTTGGTGAGCATTCAAACAATTAAACAGAGTTAAAATGATAAAAATTCATTTAAAACACAATGCTGAAGGAGGGCCAATAACGTACTGGGGGGTATGCCAGAGGAAACAGAAAGAAGTCTTCACTGGCTAGCAAAAGACACTGAGAGGGAGACAGATGAATCTCTCTGAACAGGGAGTTCCAGAGTTTTGGTGCCATGATGGAGGGAGGTCCTTTTTCAGGTTGCCAGTGCTACCCATCTAGCCGCAGGTGGTGGGAGCAGTGCCTCCAAAGATGACCAGAATGAGCAGGTAGGTTCATATGGGAGAAGGTGGTCCTTAAGGTATGTTGGTCCCAGGTCATACAAGGCCTTAAAGGTCAATATCAATATCTTGATTTGAGTTTCAGAAGCAAACTTCCACTCCAGTCAACACTCTTGCCACAGCTTTCTGTACCAACTGTGGCTTCCGATCAGTCTTCAAGTGCAGTGTCATGTCAAGCGCATTGAAGATAGATAAAGCTGGGTAGCTGTGTTAGTCTGTCTGTAGCACTGCAGTAACCTAATCTAGATGTTACCAGGGCATGCTTCACAACGGCAAGATCTTCTCTGCCCACAAAGGGCCCTGGCTGGCTCACCAGCCAAAGCTGCTTAAAGGCACCCCTGGCCACCTGCTTATTCAACAGGAGGCCTGGATTCAGGAGCCACCCCCAAGCTACAAACCTGCTCTTTTGGTGGGAGTGCAGCCCCATCCAGAACAGGGGATGACCCACTTCCTGGGTTAGACTGACTGTGTGTGACTGGCCCAGATCACCCACTGAGCTTTCGTGGTAGATTAGGGATTGAAAACGGAGTCTCCCAGATCCTAGTCTGACTCATTAACCTCTGCATAAGCAGTTCTCAACCTTTCATATCTTATGACTGTCAAAGAACCAGGGTTCTGCCATGCCACCATGATAGAAACAAAAAAGCCCACTTTTTGGAGGACATTTATGTGTTTGCAGGCATTCTGTTTTTCTATCTAGCCTGGCAAAATGTCACAGATATGATCTGTGACAAGTAGAGTCTGTAGTGGAAGGCATGTCACACCCAGACTGCTATGTCCCACTGGTGGCACGTGTGTCACCAGCTGAAAAATATGGCACTACACAATGCTCGCTGTACTGATTTGTCACCACAGTTTTAGAAACAGCTGCTCTACAAGCAAATACAGCACTGTTGTCACCATAATTATGGGTACCAAGTCCTGGAAGCTAAAACGGAAACTGTGGGCTGTCAGCTCTGTTATCTGCTTATTCAGGACTGTAGTGGTTATAAGAGGAACGGGATATGAAGTGATTGAAGTGCCCACACTTTTGAATGTGAAAGTCAGTCACCCTTCTTCTCACATGGTAAAACTGAGCTTCCATTGCTGTCAACTAACTAGCCACTTGGCTTTTAGCATTTTTAAGTATTTCTTTCCTGCATGTAAAAGAGGTTACACTGTATGGTTGCCAAGCCCAAGTAGGGCCTGGAGATCTCCCAGGATTACAACTGATCTCCAGACTACAAGATCCGTTCCCCTGGAGAAAATGGCAGCTCTGAAGCGTAGATTCAGTAGCACTATACCTTGTTAAAGTCTCTGCCTTCCCCAGGTTCCACCCCAGAAATCTCCAGAAATTTCCTAAACTGGAGCTGGCAACTCTTTTAAGTTACAATGGTAAGCATCTTTAAGACCACATGCACAAGCACACTTCTTCAGATACAGTGAAACAATTTCCTTAACCATTACATAAAAGAGAAATTGGGGGGGGGGGTTAGTTGCCTGGAAGGGCCAATTAAGGTTAAGAGAGAAACAAATTGGCCTTTCCTGGCAACTACACCTCCCTTTTTATATGTAATGGTTGAGGAAATTCTGTTTCACTGTATCTGAAGAAGTGTGTGTGCTCACAAAAGCTTATCCCTTAAATAAAACTTTTTTGGTCTTAAAGGTGCCACTGGACTAGAACTTTGTTCTACTGCTTCAGATCAACACGACCACCCATCTGGATCTATCAAAGTAAGCATATTTGTGAGCAACGCAAGTGAGGATTTATTGGCTTTTGCCAGAGCTGCTGTGTGGTCCTTTATCACATATGCTGAACGGGGGAACCACAAATGAGAGCCTTCAAAGCCGGGAATACTCCAGATGGGGATCCTGTTTCTTTGTGTCAGAACGACATACAGAAGGCCCAAATGGGTCATTTTAAGTAGTGTCTCATTCCATTCCATTCCATTGATGTCTCCCACACACACACTTTTTGTTTTAGAGCCAGTTTGGTGTAGTGGTTAAGAGCAGTGGACTCGAATCTGGAAAACCAGGTTTGATTCCTCACTCCTCCACATGCAGCCAGCTGGGTGACCTTGGGTCACCATTTTCTCAGAGCAGTTCTCTCAGAGCTCTCTCAGCTCCACCTACCTCGCAGGGTGTCTGTTGTGGGGAGAGGAAGAGGATTGTAAGCCGCTCTGAGACTCCGAGTAAAGGGCGGGGTATAAATCCAATTTCCTCCTCCTCCTCCTAGTATTAGAGTGCTAAGCCTGGTCTCAAATTCCCCGCATCCATAATGTGACATGGCTTGACCCTATCCCACAGGATACAGCGGAGAAAAAAACAATCGTATGTGCCGCCCGCTCTACACCCTCCCTGGAGGCAGGGAAGGAGACCAATGCGGCACAGAGCAGGCAGTCAACGATACACTGCCCTTGCCCATGGATGTTCCATCCTGGCTCGCAGCCCTGGAGAAGCCGTTTTCTTCGTCCTTCGTCGACTTTCGAGTCCCGAACGGTGAGAGAAAACCAATCCGGCGGCTCCCCGTGCCTCTCCCAGCCGGGCCCCAGGACAAGCGTCCCGCCTTCCCCCTGGTGGTGAGTCCGGAGTTGGGCCTGGCCCGCCTTCCCCTCAGCAGCGGCGCCGCCACCGCGGAGGCCTCTGGGTAAGCCATCCGCGCGCTGCTTTCGCCGCCAGGTGACAGTTGGTTGCCCGGCTGTGGCCGCCTCCGCAGGAGCGAGGCCGGGAAGAGGCGCGCTCGCTCTCGCTCTCTCGCGGCGCCCCAAACATGGACGGCAGGGCGGCGGCGGCGGCCGGGCCAGGGCAAGCCGCTATGGAGAGTGGAGGTGGACCCGGACCGGGCCGGAGACCTACTCGCTTGGTGTCTGGGGCGGCGGGGCCAGTGGCAAGCGCCGCGGCGGCAGCGGCTGGGGGGACGATGGCGAGCGTAGCCGGGTCTCGACAGCCCAGCATGGAGACGTTGGACAGGTGAGGAGAAGTCAGCGGGGAGGGGGGGGGGCTTTTCGCTTCAGGAAATTGTGCGTGGGGGGAACAGCCTCCCCCCCCCCCCCCCCGCGCTCTATAA